CCGCCCCGTCCCGCCCCGCGGCGACCGGAGGGGCGGCGCGGCGGAAAACCCGGGGCGGATTCCTGGTCGCTTTTGTTCCCGCAGATCAGCGCGCAGTATTGTTTGAGGTGAAAGCCGGGAGTCCGACCTTCCCGCTTGACTCCCGGGCGTCGCCGTAGGGAGGAAGAGAGTATCTCCGAAAAGCTGCTGGAGCGGGGGCTCCGGAGACCCGAGCCGTGACGCGGTTTTCCCTCAGCGAGGCTGTGTGACCTTGGCCGAGTCGCTTGGCCTCTCTGAGCCCCAGGCGCCTCCTTGGAAACCGAGGGTAACCCTCACCGCCCCGGGGAGCGGGAGGGGGCTCGCGAGAAGGTCGCGAGCTCGCAGACGGCCTGCGCCCGCCCTTGCGAGCCGGCCGGCCCGCCTTGGGGTGAGAAGGGAGCAGCTCTCTCCGCAGACCTCGCCAGATGCGGCCATTGTTAAGTCAGCCGGCTGTCAGCGCGCGAGGACCCCGGGGCACGAGCAACGCCCCCTCCCCTCCTGGCCTGTGCGCGGCCCCCACCGCAGGTGGAGGGGAGGCCGGGGCACCCGACCCCCGTGAGTCCTACAGCGGCAGGCCGGGCCCCGCAGCAATGGTCCATTCTCCCTGCCCTTCCCCCTGGGTGCCGTCTTTTGACTTCTGGCGACCTACGACTCATCTGTGCGTGCCAGGCTCTGAGGCCCTGCCCTGCCCGCCCTGTGGAGCCTACACCCTGGTGCTGGGCAGCACACAAGAGCAAGGCACTGAATAAATGCATGCATTTCTGCAGGACGTGGTCCAAGGTGCTGGAAACTTCCTAGCAAGACATTCGCCAGCCTTGGGACCTCAAGGCTGAACAGACTTTGCAGAGCCACTCTAGGGAGAGAAGGAAAACGTGCTTCCCACTCCCTGACCCCTCTCCACGCCTTGGGCAAAATTTCCCAGAGCCACCACGGTGCTCTTGGTCAGTGAAGGGAGGAGCAGGCATCCAGGTGGCAGTCCCAGGCAGTTGAAAATCCACATAGGCAGGAGGGGTGAGGCTGGTCCCCGTTGGGTCTCCCTGCCTCACTTCCCCGGTAGAGTCTACTGTCTACAAGCAACCACATCAATCCTTGTTCACTCTGGCCTCACCTTTTCAAGTCATTCCAGGGAAGTAGCCACATTCCAAAAGCTACCATAGGAGAAAGTAAAATAATACGGAAATCGGGGCAAGTCAACACGTTTGCCTCCTATTGGTTAATTAGGTTCCTTGGAGCAGAAAGATCTTGGGACCTTATGGCGCTCAGGTTCCTCCAGGGCAGCCCCACCAGGGTGTGAAACCTCCAAGCTGTGGTGTCAAGCTGACCTTCGTTCCAGTCCCAGCTCTGGCCAGCTCTGTGACCTTGGCCCTTCACCCAACCATTCCAAGCCTCAGTTTCCTCATCTATAAAAGGAAACCAGGAATCCCACTCCCGGCAGCTAGCAGAGATGCTAACCGGCCCTGGACAGCTGGGGAAATTGAACCACAAGTAACGATCGAGGTCCCCCAGCTCCTGACCGCCTTCTTGTCCCTTTTTTGCTCTGCCGTTTGCTATTTAATGTGTGTACTGGACAGCTTACGGATTAGGGTTTCCTTGTAATAGACAGAAAAGAACAAGCAGAGACTCCCGGTGGAGAAGGCCATGTGAAGACAGAAGCAGAGATTTGGAGCCAGGGGTCGCCTGGAGTCACCAGGAGCTAGAAGAGGCAGGAAAGATCTTCCCCTGCAGTCTCTGGAGGGAGTGTAGCCGTGGGACACCTTGACTTTGGACTTCTGACTGCGGGAGAACACTTCCGTCATGTTAAGCCCCAAGCTGTTTGCTGTGGCCACTCCAGGACAGTCTTACAAGTCTCATTTCCCCTCATCTGTACTCCAGCTCAGTTTAATCCAGCTCAGTGGAGAATAAACCACTACCCTGCGGGAGCACACCCCACAAAGGGTTTGGGGGCCTCCAAGAAGAATGACACCCAGCTCCTCGACTTTAAGGAACAGATGCCTGGACTCCTGTTCTGGAAGCCGATGGCCGCCCATCTGTGGGAGCTTTCTATCAGCACACAGTTCCCTTCCCAGGAAACAGCCAGGAGCCTCCGGAGGCTAAAGTGGACGGTGACCTGCCAGTCCCTCTGAATGCTAGAAATGCTGTCTCTTGGGGCTGGCCATGCGGCTGTGGTTTTCTCAGCCAGCTGCTGCCCAGGGCTCCTTCCCTAAAACAGCCTCCAGCCCCAAGCTGTTTGGAGCTGGTCCCTTTCCCTGACTTCAGGTGGGACTTGAACGTTTCTCCACCTTCTACAGAGTGGAGGGCCTGAGGATCTGTGGGAGGAGGCCGGGGAGGGGAGCGCAGTGTAAGTCAGAGGGTAGGGCGTTCCTCCACGTGATCAAAGGGGCTGTAGGTAAAAGGGAAGCAGGCCGTGTGTTCAGATGAGAAGAGATTCCCGGTACAACGCTGTGTGGACAGCAAAACTCACTCCCAGGAGTGAACATACCTGCCACGTGCCTAACTCGGACCAGGGACCGACAGTACAGTGGGCCCTGCCCTCGGCAGCTTGCGGTCTAGGGCCAAACGATATGTCTGTCTATGTTTTCCAAAGGACTGGAGTGGAGTATAAATTAATACTATTGTTGAGAAAGAGAGAGAGAGACTTGGGATTCACCCCAAATGCCCCAGAGAAGCGATTTTGCAATGAGGATGGGCTGTGCCTGGGATGACTTCCTGTGTCTGAAGGGATACGGAGTCGCCGCGGTCCTGGAATGCGGCTGAGGCGAGAGCTCGGCCACCTGGACTCCCAAGTCCAGCGACCGGCCCCCATCGCCCCGCTTCTCCGTTCTCGCGTAGACCCCAAGCCTAGGGGAGGAGCCTGGAGGCCATGTTGTGATAGAAAAATGAAAACAGAGTGCAGGTCGCGAGTCCCATCAGCAGGAGAAGTCCTTGAACAGTGGGGCAGAAGTACACCCAGGCTCCCTCCTGGATCCGCCACTTTACCTTCCCTTCAGGGTCTGTCGAGGGGTGTGCCTGGTCTCCAGTTGGAGACACGTGCTGATGTGCGTTTTGCCTTTACCCAAGGCCCTGCGTTTCTGACACAGAAAACAAAGGGACCCCAGACCCCTTCCGTGCAGGCCTTACGAAGTAGGTCCCTGATCTCACTGATGGCATCATTGCTCGGTGCCTCAGCCCCTGATAGCCTCTCGTGATGGCCACAGCTCTGTGAGCCTGCTTCTGAACTGCTGTCACTGTTCACGTTTTACAGATGGAAAGGTCATCGTGGGCCCAGGGCCAAGCAAGTTTGTACGCGTTGGAACCAGATTCTGACCTGAGTCAGTTGCCCAGGATCTGCCCCTCCCGGAGGAAAGCATAAAGGTAACGTGTTTATTCGTTATTTCTGCGAACCAGAGGCTCCAGCCATTATCTGTCATCTGCCGCATGCAAGTTTTCCTTAGCCGTGGCCTCCCACAAAGTCCACCTGGAGTCATAAACGGGCAGTTGTCCCAAACAATGCCTGGCGCTGATTCTGCACAGACACACATTTTCCTCCAGGGCAGACTTGCTTTCTTAGGTGTCTGTGGCCTTGGGCTAGGTGCCGTTGCCACGGAGGGAATTACCTGGGCTCTTATTTGAGATGGTGGTTCCTCAGCCTGACCCCGGGTACGGAGCCAGACTCCCTGGGAGTGGGGTCTGGGATGCCACATTTCACCAGCTCCCGTGTGACCCTTGTGTGCACCTCGCGGAGACGTTTTGCTGTCAGGCTTCCCGTGTGCTGCTTTGGACCGAACGATAGCAACCACCAAAATAATCAGTTAAGTCCGTATCACAGGCCTACACCTTGACCGGGATCCTCCGTGTTACAGATGGGGAAGCTGAGGCACCATCCGGGGCTCGTGGGTTCTCGACGAGTCCTGAGCCTTATTTGTGTCGTATGTCTGTTCAGTTTTCACATTTGTTCGTTTCCCACACCACAGTTAATTCACTGCTGCTTTTGGTTT